CCCTACGACAAACTGGACGCCGTGAGGGAGCAACAAGAAGAGCTTATGCGACTGCATTTCGCCTTGGACAACCAAGTGCAGAATGTTGCCGGCTCCGCTTCTACGGGAAATCGTCGCCAGGCTCGACGGTACAAACACTTTCCCTCACATCAGATAATCATTTTTGATTGACGAATCATTAGTGAGACTGAAGATACTCCTAGATAGAGTGAGCTATGAGAAGTGATAATATTCGACCGTAGTATGCGCAAAAACATTATTTTAGTGTTGCCATCCTCGACCCCACTAATGAGTCGCAATACCTCACGCAGCGATACAAAACCGACATTATACGCGTGTCTAGGCCCTTAACTATTACATATACTGTCCGTATAGTTAATAATTATACATAATTTGTACCCCGGTATTTGACGCGTGTCAACGTGCTGTCCTCCACATATACAAATGCTAGCAATCCCCGTTATTGCTTCTTCCAGCGAATTCACCTTTTTATAACGGAAAGCCTTGGATGCCTTCCATAGTCAGATCCATCTCGACCTCGTCCACATCACCGTAATTTCAAAAAGATTACTTGCCAATCCCGTTAAAACTACTTAATGAAAGTCTAGACTTGTTTTCATCCAACGGTGACTTTGTGTAACAATCAGTCCGGTAAACGCTAGCTGCCTAGTGCAAAACAGCGCACTTCAGTAACTACCATGAACGGCCAACAATTTCATCCTTTTTCATTTAGACTTCTGATGGAAGAGGGACGAAAGGCATCGAAATCAAACCTCTCGGCTCTGGTAACCAAGGTAAGTCGGCTCTATTTCCGCCAGAGGTTACTCTCACATTTCTCTTATGTCTCTCCCCTGCATTAGCTCGAATCACTGAGTTCCTCAATGTAAGTTTCGGTTATCTACAGAATCTAAATAAGCTCTTTAGCCAAGATCTCCACAGCTCAAGCCGACCAAAAGCCTGAGATTTTCGCTTCGAGGGTGAGGATTCCGGAGCCTCAGTACTTTGTGATTCTTCTGGCCTCGGTTCCTTTTGCGAAGTTACAACCGCCTACCAAGCTCCTTTCACTTATTTGTTATTTCCTTCGCGTTAAGGACTGGCCTCCCAATCATGCTTTTGACTTTTGATTTGGAAAATTCGTTATCGTCGACCATGGTATTTCGACACCCTATGCTTGCTTTGCCTCAAAAGTGAGTAGCCGTGAATTAGCTCATCGCCGCTTGCTGTATATTTATTACCGCGGAACGAGAGGCGACCACTCCTGATTCGTAGATCCGCTTTCGAATTTCCTCACAACAGTGCTGAAGGCTCGAGAGAATCGTAATTTTCGGCGTAGGCCTAGTCCGTGACAGAGGAACAATTCTTCGCAACGCTAGGGATGGGCCTGCCAATAGGTGTTCAACAGCAATACTTTTTGGGCTATGGGTTGACTCTGTAATTTACGTGAGTAAAGAGTGGCGTTAAGAATAGTACCCGTACTCAATAAAGGTACATTTTGTTTCTCAACTAAAAAGCGTATTTCCTTCTTTCCGGTGACAACAAAAAAGCAGATGACAAAGGTCCGAATTCAAGTTCTGATTGGGAGGACAGGACACTACCAAGGAATAATAATAAAAGCGTCGTGAGCATTAATCACGAAAGTTAAAACGATGGACTATTCATATTTTAATATTGCATTCTATCGA